AATACGCCTGCCGCGTCTTGGATGATGACAATGCGTCTCAGGAACTTGGATGCTGGGACGTGCCATCTGATGCTGGCCTGGCTGCTCGGTTGGAGGACGAGAAAGCCTGCGTCTGGGTGTTTCTGTCCTTGGTGACACATAGCAGGTGCACTTCAGAGGAGAAAGACAGCAAGAGGCGACCCGCTTTCTCGTCCTCCAAGCACATGAGCCACAACATCTGCGCGCGCAGCCCCAGCATCCAAGTTCCTGAGATGCAGTGCAATGATCCAAGACGCGGCAGGCGTTTTTGCCATCTGCCCACAAGTCCTGTCATCATCCAAGACGCGGCGGGCGTACTTGCCATCTGCCCACAAGTCTGAATCTGAAGTGCACCTGCTTGACAAGCGCAGGCAACTATGTGTCATCAAGGACAGAAAACACACAGACCAGCAGGCCTTGTCCTCCAACCACATGAGCCACGACATCTGATACAGCCCGGCCCAGTTTCAGATCCAAGTCTGAGTGCGCATGAGTCAGGAAGCTGAAGTAGCCAGATCGCGCCCTAGCTTCTTCGAATTCCACAGAATCTTGTAGATATCTCTGATGGCTGACTCTCGCTACAGCCTGCTCCCATGTGTTTGGTAGCAGTGATTTGATATGTGTGGAAGTACCGTAAGGGCGTGGGCTCGAACCCCACAGCTGTCATGCCTTGCTTAGGAATATTTTCGAAACTCACATCATCGATGCCACTTGCGCCAGCGTGCTGTCAGCCATTCTCATTAACGTTGCCATTGCAAATAGCGCCACAAAAAATCTTTCATTGCCACGGACACTACGATAACCATTGTCACCAACCACTTACCAGAGCCACCACAACTGCAAGCGCCTCGCAACAGCAAACCACGCGTCGCGACAGCACGCTTGCAGCATCCTGCGCACCTCAAGGGAGCACAAGCAGTGAGCTGCCCAGGACTTGAACCTGGAGTCTCCGGCTCCGGAGGCCGACGCCTACTCCACCTCAACATGGATTAAAAATACTCGAGGTGGGACTCAAGCCCACAACCTCCTTGGGAGGGAGGCGCCTTATCCATTGGGCCACACGAGCTACGATGCACTGGCTCTAAGGCTTGCCATCATGCACACCACGTGGCCAACTGCAGACTTGGATGCATACAACTCATCCCCAGCACTGCTCAAATTAACTGCAAATGTCTAACCTGAGTTCGATATGAGAAGCAAGAGACAAGGAAAGCTATTCGGCAGCTTTTGAACGACCTCGAGCTTGGAAGTTTGGAGAGTTTCCCAATTTCGAGTGGAAGTGGCAGCGCTGCAGATGACACAGCAGAACCCGAGCGAGAGTGTGTTTGAACGTGCGTGGTACGACATCTGGACAACGATTGGATTCATGTGAGAAGAGTGGCTACAGAATGATTGGACAAGATCCATAGGAATCCTAACCTTTAGCTGTACAGTCGATACAGTGGATTGTGCATTTGATTGGAAAATGGTAAATCTCGAATCTCGCCTCACGGCTTTAGGCGCGGTGTTGGACTTTGCTAGATGTAGAGGAGCATTCAGCTGCACTTTCGGCACGTGCTTTATCCAAAGTATGCCTTTCAATCACCGAGCGCGGAGTGAGCGGGAAGTGTCGCCCGCTGTGGGCCAAGTCAAAGTGTGTGCGACACCGACACCTGCATATTTTTAACGTTTAACACACTGCAGTATTCGGTGCTTGCTTTAGGTGTGTTGCCAGCGAAAGAATCATATGACAGAAAGGGGGGTTGTTTGCTGAGAGCTCGCCACTCAGTTCACATTGGCCACTCAGTTCACATTCCATGCTGAAGCGGCGTGTTTGAGGGATGTGGGGAGGTGACGTAAAGTTTGGGGTTTGTGGGTTTAGGGCGGCTTTGTGGCGCCCCCAACAAACGTTGCCACCGGGCCCTAAAGAATGAGATGGCCGCCGGCCCAGAAAACAATTGCCTGGCCCAACCAACCGCAGTTGCAGGTTTGGAGCAGGTGGGCGATTGCGCAGGGATGCCCAAAGAAACAAATGAAAAACACGCACCCTGGCAGACATTGTGCATCTGAGGTGGCTTGGAACAACGGTGCCAGGTCTTCTATTCTTTGCCTGTTGTGGAAACTCGACGCTTGGTGCAGTGTAACGGGGTTGGGGCTGCCGTTGCAAGGGCCTCGTTGAATGTGTTGCCACGCGCCAACAGGAGGCGGGACACAGCTTCTACTTGGGCCTTGACATAAAGCCGATCGGTGCCAAGGAAAGCGTTTCCGCGCAGCTTCTTTTGATTGCGTGGTCTTCAACTTCCCTTTAGTAGGTCGAAGCAGCTTGGCTGAACGATGAGTTTGGGCGAGGTGACTTCCCAACAGAGTATTTTTTTGGGTGACGGCGGCGATCACACCCTGGGCGGCGTCGACGAAACGGATCCCAAGTAGAGGTCCAGCTCCGCCAGACCACCCGGTGATGATGCGCCAGATGTATGAGGCACCACGAATGCAATGTTTAAATCATTGTATCGCTCATGGCATGCCTCAAACATTGCAGGATTTAAGGTTTTTGCTTGCCGAGTTCTTCACCGCGTCCGCTTTCCTCCTACGAGCAGGCTTTGCGTTGGGTGCTTTTTGCTGGTGCATTGGTTATGTTGGTTTTGCAACGCGGATCGCCTAGCAAGGCGGGGAAGTGCACCTGCGCTTAACAGACCAGCATTGCATCCCGGCTGGGTTGGTTGTGGAACGTTTTTGCAGAAAGAGAGGTGAAGGTGTGGGTCTAGACCTTGGTTATGCGAGGCACTGCGCTGTCGCGCTTGCCTTGGAATTGGCCGCAGTTGGGTTTTGAAAAACGGTTGGACTTTCAAGAGGCCAGCGTTTTGCCTTTGCACGGCGAATCGGCCCCGTATGTTTAAACATGCTTGCCGCTTCGGTGTCAGGCCTACGAGAAGGTCTACCGCCCTTTAGGGTATCGCCCTGGGGTGGTTTTGAAGCGCGCACCCTTTTCGGTGGCCTTCGCCAGCACGTGGGTCTTTCGGAGGTGCTGAACTGCCATGTGGTGTGCTTTGGATTGTGGTGTTGGCTGTGGTGTTCGCATTATAGGACTTTCTGGGCAAAGCATGCATGTGGCACATGTGAACTTGTTCGCAAACCCTTACACCTTCCAGGCGGTGAATCGCGGAGTCATTGATCCGGAAGGGCCTCGTTCCCCTTCCACCACTCGCGACCTTGTTTGCATGGATCACGTCCATGGTTGAACGCTGCAAGTTTGGCGACTCTACCAGTAAGATGTGTTTGTTTTTTTCCCTTTTTCATCGCTGAAATGTGCAGTGGTTGGAGCAAGGTTCACAGGGCAGAAACAGTGCTCTGTTATAGCCATGCAGCAAGTGCGTAGCTGAGATGGTGGGATGGTCATTGTGTGTCTTCTTGGATGTTGATGTTTAAATGATATATTTCTTCGATCTTGATGCTTCCGGTGCGGCCCAGCATGTGGTGGAAGCTGACATGGATGCCGACATGGAGGGCGTGCTGTGACAGTCTTTTTGTCATGCTATTTGGAGGCACGGGTGTTCACGTGAAATGCAAAGAGTGTGTAAAGAGCCCTTAGTAGCGTCCTTGTTCCTAGAAGCGAGGCCCTTTACTCCTAGTAGCGTCCTTACTCCTAGTGATGCCAGGAGCCCTGTTCGTAGCGTCCTTGCTCCTACCAGTTGGTCTGACAGTCAGCGCAGGTCGGCGAAGGCAAATGCGTCCACGAGAAAGATGCACACACCTGAGAGTCGGTGTTGAAGGCTGGTAGCATTGCAGGGCATGTCTTTGTCAGAATGAGCTTGAGTGGACTTTCGATTCGTTGACAAAATATTTTTTTCTTCTGTTTGCATCCGTTTCCAGGAGATGCCACACAGCGCCCCGAAACTTTAAAGAAATGCTCGCCGGCTCGCCCTTTGAAAAGGATGCGCTGCTGGGAGGGCTTTGCGGGACAATTCTTTTTGGTAAACAATCCGTTTAGCGCAGGGTAAAGAGCAAAGGGCACAGGAAAGGGAAAGGTCGTGAACAGTGGAAACACCTCGTGCTGCCAACTTTTGCTATTTGGATGCAGTTAAGATCAATATTGAATCGCTCAGGACAATTCGAGTTCAAACGCTTGTTGCCCACCTTGACCTAAGGCCATTGTCTCTGGCATTCTAGCAGGCTTGGCCCTGGCTGGATTCAACTTGCAGGCCCTCGCACCAGCTCGGAATTCCGATGGTGTTTCATGGGAGGCACCGTTCCCCGCTTCAGTCAGTGAGTATGGAATGATGTTTGGATTGAATTGTTTCTTTTGTTCTCACAGGTTTTTGACAAGAATCGACAAGCAACATCAACTTGTTTGTTTGTCGTTTTTACGAGTCCTTGTTGGCGTGGCGGCGCGGCTATCCGAAGCGTTGGTGCGCTTCACTTCTTACTTATTGTTCCTTGTGATCATTTGATCATGGTTTGTAGACTTGTGTGACGGAGAAAACTTATATAAGACCTTCAATGGATCTAGCTTGCAGGTTGGCGCCTTTTCTCGGTGATGGCTCAAGCCAACCGAACCCCCATCGGTTGCTGCAGATAGCAGTTCCTCGTTTCCCTAAGCCTTTGTGCTTGGATTCGTATGTTTGAAGTTGAAAACGTCAAATTCTAATTCAAAGCAATGGTTGCAACATTTCCGATGTGCTCAGACAACTCATGTTTCATCCTTTTTGGATTCAAACATCTAGCAGGGAGGTTTGCTTTGGGCGACCGACTCAATGCTTGGCGCGGCGGCGTTTTGGGATAAGCGGCATGACAAAGATCTTCGCCGCTGTCTGGCTACTGGCGGCCAGATGCTTTTCGTGCACCTCGAAGCAATTGCTGGTAAGTCAATCGAGGCTTTGGCCCCACGAAAACTTGTGGCAACGGTCTGATGAGCAAAGGGGTCCTCTGAAAACTTCATGTGTTAAGGGATAAGGGTAAACCAGATCCTCTTTTATTGGAGACCCGCCACACGGCAAATCTTTTCTTCGCACAATGCTTCGCTTGTCCGGGGGGGCAGCGCTTAGGAGCTCAGCAACTACCATACAGGGTACTGTCATCACTGTGAGCACTTGAAGGCAGTTGAGAGAACCTCGCGAACAGCAGTGTGGAATCAGCAGCAAAAGTACCGAAGCAACCGAAAGCCATGGTGGCAAGAGTCCAAGTTCTGGTTCTGAAAGACGTGTACCATGGGCCGTCTCGCCCGGATATCGCATGAAATCCTCCAACCTAACAGGAATGGCCTCCAACCCAATAGCATCTAATAGCGATGGCCTCCAACCAGTCCTCCAACCTTATAGCGATGCCTTCCCAACCCGCATGAAATCCAGTTCTGGAACGCCGAAATCGGCGGCGTCCTTCCAAGGGGAGTTAGGAGACACAGATCGATGTGAGACGTCCTTTCTCCAGACCGAGAGGACAGACTGAGCAGATCCGTCAGACTGCTAGCAGCTTCGAAGACACAGCATGCATCAGAAGCCAAGATATTTGGGTTCTGATGTTGAACACGTCGATACTAAGTTGATGGATTTCGATGTACCGTGGGGGCCTGAGGATAGTGACTATCCGATAAGCCCAGCAGCCCCGTCCTTGTCCCTGAAAGTCACTGTTTGAATTTTAAGCATTACAAAGCCATTTCTCAGTGAAGTTCATTTGGGTGAGCCAACACATTTTGCATCTAGATCAATTGAGTGTTTTGCACACTTGTTTGAGTTGATCTGAATTAAATGGGTTGTCATTTGAACCTGCAGGGGGTGGCTCACAATGTAACTTGCCAGAAGCAATCCATTGCAACCACATCATAACATAATGTGTCCCATTTGTTCTGCATACTCTTTGCCTACATGCAACTCTGTAATGAAGTGAGCCGAGGAAAGACTTATTGGGTGTTTGTTATTTTTGGTACTCTCATGATTTTGTGCAGGAAGCCAGCCTTCTGGATAAAAGTGACATGCCCACGCGCACCCATTGTAGTTAAAACCCAATCAAACAGTCTTTGTCCCCAATCCCTGTGCAGGATTTTGTCTCCACGGCAAGCTCGAGACACTCCTTGGTTGCAGCCAGCATTGGAGCAGCTCAGTGGTGCACGGAGGGTGGGACATTTCCTAGTAAAGAGGATTTGCCAATCAGATCCATCTAGCGGGCCCCGCAGGGACCGACCGGGGCATGTTGTTCTGAGGTTTGAAGTAGGGTGGAGGCCATCGGAGGTCATCGCTACTAGGGTGGAGGCCATCGCATTTGGGTGGAGGCCATCGCTATTAGGGCGGAGGCCATCGCTACTAGGGTGGAGGCCATCGCATTTGGGTGGAGGCCATCGCTATTAGGGCGGAGGCCATCGCTACTAGGGTGGAGGCCATCGCTGTTGTCACTTTGAGCTTCTTGATCCACCTTGATCTGGAGCTTGGGAAGGGGGCATTCCCTTGGAATTGCCTCACCTCATACAACGCTTTCGAGCAAACCCATCCTTCCGAAAACGTGCTCAACAGGGGGAGCAAGTCGCTGTGAGGTTCCATCAGGACCTTTTGTCCGCTTTGTGCCCAAGAAGACCCAAGAAGATCCAAGATCGCCGAAGCTGTCGAAACCACCCACTCAAACCTAGGCATGTGCGCGTTCCCGATTTCTTCCGACATGCAGCTCCCCGTGCCACACACCATCAGCTCTCTCCAAGCAGCGTCCTGGGAATAGGACAGGTCGGACTGGTCGGACTGGTCGGAGATGCGGGGAGCGAACAGCTTGTTGTGCATAGCTTAGGCGAACAACCGCATCCTCTGATTCTCGTTTTGAACAAAAACTCATCCTGGATTGAAACCCACAACATCATTGGAACAGCTGTTGGAAGATGCTATTCACCCTCACGACTGCCCTCACGTCTAGAGTCTATAGAGATGTGTCTGAAACCCAGGACTTGGAGCCATCATTTTTGTGGCAATTATCATATGGGTCTTCTCGCCCTTCCAGGCGGTCACTTTTGTTCAGTTTTTGAGGCTCTGCTGGTCACTGAGGGCGGCCGTGAGCGGGTTCCTTCAACGAAATCACATGAAACAGGACCATGCAACTTTGGATCTAAAGACGGCATTTCGAACAAACTGAAATCAGTTTCAAACACGGCCTCAGAGGAAACACGGACTCAGTCCGCTGAGCGGTGTATTTCTTGTTTTGCTGATCCATTTAACGTGCGAATGCTTTGCGAGAACGTTGCTGTACGTGAGGGTGCTTGTATAAGGAGTGGGTGAAGAGCACAGTTCTGGAGATTGTGCGCTGGTGAGAGTCATGAACAATTTGAAGTGCCCCCCCCCACACACCGCAGTTTCTGTGGAGCCTTCCAAAGCCTCTTTGGTCAGGCTTCAGACACTGACACAGATGCCGCAAAGGAGACCAGTGTTGATGCGCCATATCGCTGGCGCCTGTTGCATGGCTTCAAACAATTGGTTGAAGGTCCTCGATGTGCGTTTTGTTTTTGACACTCTACTCTACTAGTAAGTAACTCTAGTGTTTCCATGCGACCTTCCATGTGTCCTTCCATGTGTCCATGTACGTTTTCTTCCTTAGAGTGCTTTCTCAAATCGCTCAAGGAGAACCTTTGCAGTACCCTGTTGGGATCAGCCATTCATAAACATCTTGATCCTGTTGGCTTCAGGGCTGGTGCCCCAACCGAGGTTTACGGCTATAATGTGCATGACTATGTACCTGTTGCCTGGCCCGTGGCTTTCGGACTAGGTTCATCAAAGGTCAGACGGCACCTTTGGACCTTCGAGCACCTTGCTTGTTGTCGAGAGTTCATGGCATCTTTGTTGTGCAGAAAGTGGATCTAGGTGAGAAACACATGGCTGTATAATGCCACACGCGCACAGCCACAAGAAGCCACTCCACATCCAGTGTGGAATGGAATTGTTGCGCGCTGCGAACGAGAGTCAGAACAGGAGCCCCTAGTAGCGTCCTTGCACCAAGGCTGAACTATGCCGACCGATACAACATCTCGGCACCTCGCCGTTGAAACACGGGTTTCGTTCCTGCGCTGTATGGTTTGAACAATGGGAGTGCTGGTAGACAGACCGGTATGCAACAGTTCCGAAAACATCGACAACTAGACTATACACATATATGATTTTTCTCCAAGTCTTCAAGGATTTAAGGTTGGCATGAATGTCCACCAGCTGTTTGAATGTCCACCACCATCTTCAACCAAAGACAAGCCAACGGGTCGACCATCCTGAATCAAAGCAGCATGCCAGGTGCGAATGCCAGGTGTTCGAAAGGAGACTTAGAGAAACACAGCAGGGAGCAGTCCATGGAAGATGGAACACTTTAATCCATTGTTGATTGGTAGCGTTCCGGCCCGAAGAGGTATGTATCGCGCCCATCAAAAGCGTAGCAGGTTGCGTTAATCGCGCGTGTTCTTCGCAAAAAAGACCGTTGCTGCTGATGGCGAGAATCTGTCGTCGCCTGGTTTGCCGTGGCTTTCTGGACGGAGGTGGCGATTATTGAGATCAGCGAAGAGCAGGGCTACGACAAGAGGATGCAGCTCGTCCGATCCGCTGAAGGAGGTACAGGTATGGTATGGTAGGTATGATAGCCTGAACGATTTTTGGATTCCAGAGTTGGAAGCCTTTTTGACACGTCGGAGATGACGCCCCTTTTTGGCAGGGACACTTAGCTGTACTGGGTGAACTGAACATCACTTTGCCGCTGGGCCAAGCAATCAAAGTGTTTGAAGCATCTACCGGAGTTCACTCAAGCACACCAGGTGTAAAGGCTTCTATAAGGCTGGCGGAGAGGCATCGCCCTGTCACTTTGCAAGGCAAGGCTTCATCCAGTCCGTAGTTTACCTTGGCTTTTTGCCCGGCACCGCAGCCTGTCTGCAGAGGAAGCAGTTGTTCTCTCTCGTGCTGCTTTGAGATTCCAATGAGCGTCTGGGTCAAAACATATGATAGCCTAATCGCACTTCTAACAGCGATACCCTCCAACCTAATAGCGATGGCCTCCAACCTAATATCCTGAGGTGCTCTTTGGACACCTGGCATCACCTGACATCATTGGCTCATTCAACTCCTTGCTCTTGGCCTGCTTCTGCTGGTCCATGGCGACTTTGCTGACGCCGATCCTTGGAAGCCGAGTTTGAGTCGTAGCAGTCGTAGTCACTAGTCGTAGTCATCTTTGCTTCGAGCCGGTAGGCAGGTGGTATTTTGGGGTAGTCACTAGTTGTGCGCAGTGGATTCATCATTCTAGTGGCAAGAAGATCCTAGCGCACTTGTTACTAGTAGCGATGCCCTTGTTACTAGTAGCTTCTTGCTACTAGGATGATTCAGGATGATTCAGGATGATCAGCCGAACTGGTGATGGAGCATTGTTATGCATTGTTGCTGTGCTCCGTTCGTGGGCTTCCGATCCTTTCTCTGCGACAGATGGCCCAGTGTTGATCACCATCGCTTTTGACGCACAAAGCTTGATGACCAAGGATTTGCTCAGACACATCGCTTGAACCTTGGACTTAGTCAATGCTTAAACGGCTGCTGTTCGTGCCCCGTTATTGGATAGGGGGACTTCGCTTCAGCATTGACCTCGTGTTTTGGTGCTTGCTCCGTTTGGCCAAGACAACGCAACCACATACAATCTCCACAGTTGACACAGCCGCCGCGTATAGCATAAAGAAAGCCTACGGTTGGATATGTTTTTCACCTGTGTTAGATGGGAAGAAACATGGAAGTTGCATCTTTCAGCCGAAAGTTGGATGCAGCCGAACGATGTCGAAAGGTTGAGCCAAGGAAAAGTGCATCGTTTTGAAGAGCAGAAACTCCAGGCGTTTGGAAGTCCCTGAAGTCGTCGAAAGACTCCATGCTCCACCCTCACATGATCCAAAGTGCGGATTCAAGAGTTCAAGGAAGGTCGTCCTTGGTCTCTATGCTTCTTGGGATCCTTTTTTCGTGGCCTTGCGCAGCTCCAAGCTGTGCAGCTCCACCCCCAGCTTCCATGGCTCTACCCCCAGCTAGCGCGCAGCTACCGTGCAGCTACCACGCAGCTTCCGCGCTAAGGGGCTGCTGATCTTCATTCGAATTGTTTTGGGATTCTTCGAAGGTGGCAGTGCGCCGTGCTCCTTGGCAGGACGGGTCGGCGCAGAAGCCCAACTGAGCCACTGCAGTTTCTGGATGCGCCAGCCAGATTTCGTCTCCAAAACCAAACTGCTTTAACTTCGACCTCAAGATCTGACCTTTTTACACCAGGTTTTCATGAAACACCATGGGTAAATCACGGAAACCGGAAAAACAACGGCTTCATGGCTGTTGGAGCCCTGTTTTTAATGCTTCGCCCTTGTAGAACTTAGAGTGCTTCTGAGTTCAGTTGCCCGTGCAAGTAGCGTCCAAACTGACTGCATTCATTCGCTTTAGAGCAAAGGCTTGGCACAACTCTCAGCTTGTTCTCAATGTTCTCTGCTTGCATTCACCTGGAATGGTACTCTCGCCTGTGGAATCGATCTAAGAATTTGGATGTATGTTGTAAGCACGGGTGGAAACCGCACGAAGACCTGGCGCACTCAGACTAGATCTGGCGCACTCAGACTCTGAGGCACTTACCAGCTGGCTGCCCATTGGTTTCCCAAGGTCCAGTCTAGCCATATGTTGGCCTCCGCTGTGGCTGGGGCCCTGGGGGAAGCGGGGGCAGGTGGACGGGCTATGCTGGGAGTTGCTTTCCAAGCGCTGCACTATGTAGTTGGGCATCAAGGATCTATGTCCAGAACCTGGACATTTCCCTAGAATGTTCTTAGGCTATTAAGGGGAAGCCTACTAGCGATAGCCTCCAACCTACTAACGATGGCCTCCAGCCCGCTAGAATTGTCCTGATTCTTGGAGTCTCTTGACAGCAAACACCGTCACATTCCGCCTCAAACGCCAAGCTTTGGATGCGGTTCCGTCTCGGCCCGAAGGCGGGACAGTGTGCTGGCGCTGCCATTGCAAATGCCTTTGGACCTGTGACCGAGACCTGCCTGAGCTCTGCCGGTTTCGCTTTCGGCCGCCAGGTCTCGGTAGTTCTGGCCGCCAGCTCACAACTCCCGCCATTTTTTTGAAGTCTATGGTTTATTGTTGTACAAGATTCATCTCAGCCAGGAAGCGACGGTGTGTGTTGGGGTTCACCAACCCAAGGGCTTGAAGATGACTAGAGTCACTAGGGGAAAGAACAACGATGAGAATGAACAGCTAGAGATGTCAGACAGTACACCGTGCTTCTTGAGCTTTCGGATGAGAAAAACAATTTCCTGTCTGCCCTGATTCTTGTCATCATTTGATCGCGGGATGGGTGAAGTAGGTGTAGCTCAGATTTGATGAGTACAGATGAATACTTTAAATGGTCGAAGATTGTCAGGGTTGCACACAATGACATAGGCATGTAAAGGGCACAAAGGTAGAAAAACGCGCTTTTGTATACATGTAACACAACCTACAGCCAGACATATCCTCCACAAAGGTAGAAAAGTTTGGTTGATGCCGTGACGCCCATTAATTGTATAGCCAACTATTTCACTGCTAGCGCCATACCTCCTCACGGGCTGCTTTTCGAGAAACTAAATCTAGGTGATGGCCACCGCGTCCGCAGCGCGCCTGCAGCGCGTTCGCAGCGCGCTGGGCTCAACAAGACTATATTTATTGAAGGACACGGCCAGTATTTTACAGTCCGTTTTTGCAAAGCAGTCATAGTTTGATGGCATTGGTAATGCGCGAGTGCGTTCGCAGCGCGCTGGGCTAAACAAGACACTATAGTAACGTATTGAAGGACACAGCCAATATTTTTTAACAGCCCGTATTTGCAAAGCAGTCATATATAGTTTGATGGCATTGGTGAATGCACGAGCGCGTCCGCTGCGCGTCCGCAGCGCGTTTGCAGCGCGTTCGCAGCGCGCTGGGCTAAACAAGACTATGAAGCATGCACACAGCCAGTAGTGTGTATAAAAGAGCAGTCATATTTCAATTTGAATGGCATTGGTGAATGCACAAGCGCGTCCGCAGCGCGTCAGCAGCGCGTCCGCTGCGCGTCCGCAGCGCGCTGGGCTAAACAAGACTATGAAGCATGCACACAGCCAGTAGTGTGTATAAAAGAGCAGTCATATTTCAATTTGAATGGCATTGGTGAATGCACGAGCGCGTCCGCAGCG